GATAGCTTATTTTATGTGTGGAGATTTGTGGAGAACCTGTAGAGACCTTTAAGAGATTTATAATAAAAAATATTTTTTTTCTTCTGTCTTGAATTTAGGATTTAGCCCAAATTTTATATGAGTTTGATTCTTTAAAATTTCGATGCTTACAACTATCATCTTAATGATTGAATTAATAGTGAAAGGTGGTTTAGCTAGGAAGAATTGGCTGAAGTCACGTTTTAAGTATGTTTCTTGACCAAGCACTTCGTGATATTTACTTCTTCCTTCCCTTTTTTATGAAATGAAGGTACTTGTGGCTTATTCTTTAAGTTCTTTGTCGTATTTATGAAAATGTTTGATACTTTTGCTATGGTAGGCAGATATTATCGCCCTTGATAGTTAGTAATAACCAATCAAATTTAGGACATTCCACATTGCTTCCAACAATCTAATATGCTGTAAAAAGTCAGTGACATACTTTCTTATCTAAAATATTTACTCCTCCCTAGGCTGTGGGGCATTAGAATAAGATGTATTAAGTTTTTATTTTATTTTATGAATTATATTTACATAAGAATAAAAAATATATACATAATATATAAGACGGCGTGAAGAAATTAAGAAAACATCCTTCTTTCATTTTTGAAGTGTATAAACTCACTTTATTTTTGCTAAAAAGTGAGTGATGTAAAATACTCTGTGAAACAAAGGGAATATAAAGTTAAAATGTTGTTGGAAAAAGAAGGTAAATAATAGAACCCAAAACAAATAACAATGAGGAATATAGGCCCAATTTGCAAATCTTTGTAAAAAGGCACCAAAAGGAAAAATCAAGCCGAATTTAAAACAATTGCAACCAAATTATTTCATTTCAGTATTCGTTTTCCCTTTTTGATCGCCATCAGAATAGTGTTTTATTTCTTTCAAAATGGATATCCGATTTGCCCTGTTTTCTAGAGGTGTTCTTTTAGTGGACTACATAAAACATTTCCGAATGATGCCAATGTCAAACATATATAGGCTGTTAAAAAATTATATCCACTCAGAAAAGAAAAATCACTATCAGTCCAAGTACAGATTCATAGTTTCGTGTAGTAACTAGGACATGATTTTGATAAAATCCAGAAGAGACAGATCTCATTGAAGTATAACCTCCACCCCCACCCCACCCTGTATAGTTTAAGAAAAATTGAAGTTTCCCTTTCGCCGCACCGGGGCGAAATGCATCAGTAGCCACTTTCAAGATTGAAAATATCCGTAATTTATAATGTATTTAAAGATTAACCAATTCGTCTAAACTTCTGGAGTAAGTATCTTAGATTTTTGAGATGCTAATTTGAAATTCAGGACTTAGTGAGTGTCCTAAATTTTTGAGCTGCTAACTTGAAATTCAGGACTAAATGTCTTGAATTTCTAAACTGTTAATTTGAAATTCAGGACTAAGTGTCCTAAATTTTTGAACTGCTAATTTAAAACTCAGGATATAAGATTCAAATTTATGAATACTATTTTCGAACTTTAGAACACGATGTTCTGAAGTTTGAACCTTGGGTTTTAAATTTCAGGACGTCGTGTCCTGAAATTTGAGCGAATTGGCTAATCTTTAAATACATTATAAATTGTAGATATATTTAGACATCATGCAGCATCGCCCCGCAAAGCCTGTAACCCACCCCACACCCGCACCGCCCCATTGCCATCCCTAAATTGTCGCGTCCTTTTTTTGGTGAACACGTCAATTTCAGACACATTATTTCACTTAACATTTCCGATAAATATTCCAATCGCCCATTAATTGTGTTATATATATATATATATATATATATATATATATATATATATATATATATATATATATANTTTGTGTCATATTTTCATGAGCTAATTTCACCCGTATATGCAATCTTAATAAATATTGATTGGCCTTCCATGTTAGTAGTAAATCGTTCTCCCATGGTGGCATTTGTGTCATATTTTCATGAGCTAATTTCACCCGTATATGCAATCTTAATAAATATTGATTGGCCTTCCATGTTAGTAGTAAATCGTTCTCCCATGGTGGCATAAACAAAACTCAATCATGTAACGATGATGGATTTTCCTTATTAAGCGTTGGGGATACTCACAGGAGAAAAGAACGGTACGTCGAAAAGTCAAACTTTACGCATTTAAAATATAAAATAGTAAACAAAAAGAATTTAATCTCAAAAGATATCACAAATTAAAACAACACCTAGTTGAATTATAAATGTTTACATATAAAGTTTATACATTTATTATTTATCAAGCACCATGTGTAATAAGTTTTTTCCTTTTTCCTTTTTTCCAAATAGTAACTCTATGAACAATTGACTAGTCAAATATATGTAACTAATGCCGTCTACGTGTGCATAAAATTGGTTTAACTATAAGCAACTAAGCAAGATTGGCTTACATAAAATTATACTGACCTTCAAAATAATGGTTACATCAACATAATTTTGGTTTTTTTGGTTTCTGACTCAATGTGTGACACTCTCTGGGGCCGACTAATCCGGATTCATACCGTATAAAGCCCTTTAAAAAAAGAAGCATTCCATACCAGGATTTTCATGATTCGAAGCCAAAATATCTGATTAATTGTCGATGAATTTTATCCATCCCACCACAACCCTTGTCGGTAACATAGGTTTGGTTGTAGACACAAAGAACGTGCAATATTTTCAATTCACAGCATGCAAAGACTGTTGACAATTTTGTAGAAAGTTCACAAGTAACCTATGCCTTAACCACTTTTAACCCTCCATATCTATAAGAATAACACACTATATTGACAAAGAATCAAGAAATTAAACCCCTTTTTCAACCATATTTCTATTTCTCATAGCTCATGAACAAGAACAACACAACAACATGGAAATATTAACATTGTTTGTGTGCTTGGTTTTGTCATGGATCTTCATCCATGGATTGAGGCAGCAGAAAAATAGGAAAGGCCCCATACATTGGCCTATTATTGGGGCAGGCTTAGAACAGTGGGTGAATTTTGATCGAATGCATGATTGGTTGGTCAAGTATTTGGCTCAATCCCCAACTGTTGTTGTCCCAACGTGGTCTACAACTTATACTTACATTGCTCATCCAGATAATGTCGAACATGTTCTCAAAACTAACTTTGATAACTATCCAAAGGTCTGTGATCTTTCTTTTTATTCTTTTTATTTTTTTCTTCATAATTCTCTCATCATTATCCAGTTAAATAATACATTTGTCCCTCATTATTTGTGTAATAAGGATTGGTTCTTGTTCGTACATTGTTATTCTTTCGGTGGGGATTTATAATATCCTAAATCAATTGTTGTGTTGACGTCAGATTCTTTCACATGGTATTAGAGCAAAATTTGGTAACCGTAGTATATTCACAACGGTCTTCTCTTTACTTATTACTGTATTGTACTGGGCTTCCCTCATCCTGTCTCAGTTCTGTCCATCGAGTCGCTAACTTTGTTCTAGGCAGGGGTGGAGCCAGCATGTTGCCTACGAGTTCAGTCGAACTCAGTAGCTTTGATTCAAACCATGTATTTGACTTAAAAAATTCATTGAATATATGCAAATTATTAATTTAGAACCCAGTAACTTAAAATGATTAAAATTCCGAACTCATAAGTTTCAAATCGTGGCTCCGTCTTTGGTTCTAGGCCCACTTGTTTCTATTAACGCAGAACCAAGATTCTCATTTCTTTATCCCATATATATATATATTGTTTTTTAGTCTAGCATGAGAATGAATGTTTGGTTTTGCTTTGGGACAGGGTGAAGTGTACCATTCATATATGGAAGTTTTACTTGGAGATGGCATATTTAATGTGGATGGTGATCTTTGGAGAAAACAAAGGAAGACTGCTAGCTTTGAGTTTGCTTCAAAAAACTTAAGGGATTTCAACACTGTAGTTTTCAGGGACTATACCCTTAAACTCTTTAACATTCTAATTCAAGCATCTTTCAACAATAAGGAAGTAGACATGCAGGTAAGTTGAATTCTCTTGGACATGAAATACAATGTTTATTCTTGTTGCTAAAGAACAACTTTTTTAACAGGATTTGTTGATGAGAATGACTCTAGACTCAATATGTAAGGTGGGATTTGGTGTAGAGATAGGAACATTGGACCCCAATTTACCAGAAAATAGCTTTGCACAAGCATTTGATGCTGCAAATGTTATCGTGACACTGCGATTTATCGACCCTTTGTGGAGGATCAAGAAATTTCTGAACATAGGATCAGAAGCCATCCTTGATCAGAGTATTAGAACAGTTGATGATTTCACATATTCTGTCATAAGAAAAAGGAAGGCAGAGATAGAAGCAGCTCCAACCAATGAGAAAGTAAGCTCATAGGAACAATTTTAGCTAAATAACTACTCCACTAAGTCTTTTAATTAGTAAGCTGACGTCTTTATGATTTTTAACATAAACCAGATTAAGCAAGACATATTATCAAGATTCGTTGAGCTAGGAAAAGACCCTGAGAACAATATGACTGATAAAAGCCTGAGGGACATTGTCCTAAATTTTGTCATAGCGGGGCGTGATACAACTGCAACAACTCTGTCTTGGGCTATATACATGATCATGACTCACGAACACGTAGCAGAGAAGCTGTACGCAGAACTGAAATCGTTGGAAGAGAATGTGTCGTTGCATCAGTATGACGCGGAGGATCCTGAATCAGTTAATCGGAGAGCAATCCAATTTGCAGGGCTTCTTAATTATGATTCATTGGGAAAATTGTACTACTTGCATGCTGTCATTACAGAAACTCTTCGGTTGTACCCCGCTGTTCCTCAGGTTAGTATCCTTGATTTTTGTTGCATAATGCAGAGAAAATTATGTGCACATTCTTGTCAATTGGTCACTAGTCATATTTTTTTTATTCATATAGGATCCTAAGGGTATATTGGAAGATGATGTATTACCAGATGGAACAAAGTTAAAAGCTGGAGGAATGGTGACTTATGTACCTTACTCTATGGGCAGAATGGAATACAACTGGGGTTCTGATGCAGCTTCATTCAATCCTGAGAGATGGCTCAAAGATGGAGTTTTCCAAAATGCATCTCCATTCAAATTCACTGCTTTTCAGGTATATGTAATAAATTAAGTCAACGACCATAGCAGAGATTAAAACACAAGTATAAACATATTCTTGAGTTAGGGTTAGATATACATACCGTTCAACTCCATTGATTCAGCAGCAATAGCAAACGATAGTTAAGTCTGAGACCAACTTCCCTCATCCAATAGCTATCTCGCTCTCACAATCCGGAGAGAACTCAACTGATGGGACGTCAACCACCACCAATAGTTATTGGGCTTACTTATCTACACATACAATAAAATATTAATCAGACCTTTTATTTAATTCATCACTTGGGTCATATCACTATCCGTTCAGGCTATTAACCAACTAACATAATTTCAAATTCCAATAGTATAAAACAAAATATAGAATGATATTTTTGCACGAAAAACTGTTCATATATACTAGCAATCTAAAGCTGCAAAATACATGATTTATCGGGATAACACATTTCATTGTCATGATTTTACAGGGAGGGCCAAGAATATGTCTTGGAAAAGACTCTGCATATCTTCAGATGAAGATGGCACTTGCAATTTTGTGTCGATTTTATAAATTCAAGTTGGTACCAGGGCATCCAGTGAAGTACAGGATGATGACCATTTTATCAATGGCACATGGACTAAAGCTTACAGTATCAGTACGATCTTGAAATCCAAATGTGAACATGCATCATGTAAATGTTTATGCTGGCTCTAGCATGTAACGGTTAAACATATAGATTTTAATTGCAAACTGTAATTAACTTATATAGTTAAAATAAAGTCTTTCATGGAATCAGAACAAATGACAGAATGTCACTACAGATTCATCATTACATCTTCTTTTTTTTTTTTGGAAACTATAGACAATAATGAGTTTAATTATTTGTCATTGGCCAAAGGCATTGCTACAGGAACTATTCATCAGGATTCCTTTCGATATTTGTGAAACCATACAGTCATGTTCATAAGCTAAACAATGGATACACTAATAACCCTGATACAAGTTAATTATGACATGTTATGAAATCAGAAGTGAATTTTCTTTTTCTTTTTCTTTTTTTGGTTTATCATATCTGCTATACGAGTCACTGGTCCGACTAATTCAGACTAGCATCAAATAGGATCACTATGGGGTTAATATTCCCAACCAAGAAGTTCTTTATTCCTAGATTCAAACCCGATATTTCTGATTAAGAGTAGAGGGATCCCAACCACCCCACAATACATCTTGGTGATAAGTGAAGAAAAGGTGAATCGATGGAATGAGTTCAGAATGAATGTGATCTTGTTTTATATATATATATANATGGATCCGCCTCGATATGAAATACATATTAAATGTATTGATTTCATGGACATGACCATCACAAGCCCCAAGAGTCTAACACTAGCTTGCTTAACCATTATGTTTAGCAATAATGATATTGCTGACAAAAGGAATAAGGAAAACAAGCAAGACAATTGCACCAAAGTGTCCATTTAGCTGAAGAATTCCCGCAATGTGCTCTAATTAAATGCACGTTAACAGCAGCAGCGCAGCTAGGGGTGTTCGTCGGTCGGTACGGTACGATATTTAGATGTTTTGGTTCAGCATTTTCGGTATCCTAAAATGATGTACTAATACCGTACCTAATTAAATTCGGTATGGTTCGATTTTTCGCCTTTCGATTTCGGTTTATTCGATACGGTAACTTCGGTTTATTCGGTTCTAAAGCAGCTTCTGAATATTATATTTTGGGGAAAATAACACCTTAACTAGCTAGCAAAATTAAAATTATAACTAGCCAGCAAAATCAATCTTATGAATGCAACAACACTATACATCATAAATGAGACTTCTATAAACAGGAGCATAAGATTAGAATAACGTTTGCAAACTTTATCAACATGTAAGTATATCTGGTCTAAACCTCTAACTTGCATCTCTGTAATATACCAGACACCAGTAAGCTTCACAAATGTGACCAAAATAAGTTTTTCACGTAATGTTTACAAAAATCATTCGGGTAACATCCATTAATTACGGACAAAAATAGGTGGCACACAGGCTTTCACAAAAGAACATGGAACTAGAAACATTCTCCTGAAGCTCTCTGGTAACTGGGGGCAGTAAGGATGATGAGATATTTAAAATTAATCCAATATATATTTCGGTACGATATCGGTATTTTGGTATATTTTTTAAAAAATACCAAATACCATACCTAATACCAATTGTTTTTAAAATGTAAACCAAATACCATACCAAATATCAAATACCAAAAATTTCGATTTCGGTATGGTAATTCGATATTTACCAATTTATGCACCGCCCTAGCTGCAGCTGCAGAAATTTGGAGCAGGTCTTGTGGACAACCCACTTGCTCCAAATCAGAATTTTAACTAGAACCTTAACTCATATACCATTTTAGGTGAATTTGATATGGAATATTTTGCTCTTCATAAACTGCGGTTACTGTAGGCTTTTACGTTCATATATTCTGTGAGGTTGTATACTATTCAATCAACTTATTTATTTAAAATAAATACCAGTTACCTAGTTGATGAGTTTCCTACTAATAGAGAAATATTCCATCTAAAAGTGACTATAAGTTTTTGTTTGATCGAATAGAGTTTTATGTGCAATTTGCTCACCACAAACATTTTCAGTCTTCATTGCCCTTATGGCATCGTTACAAAAACATTCATATTTTTCTATATAACACTACAAACAGCAAAAATCTAGCAATGGTTCTAATGAAATACTAGGCTCAAATCCGATATCTCTGGTTGCTCTTATTAAAAATATATATATAATGTTCTGAAGATTCTTATGTTGTTATTGCTCAAAATAGACATACTAATCAATGGAAGACAGAAAGATTAAAATACTCCATACCTGTCAAAAGTTCTTATTTTTTTCTCGTAGACGACGAACTCTTCGGCTAACTCGTAGATCATTGTCATCGTAGATCCAACATGTGAATATGAGAAAGAAACCTAGCCAAAGACAACTTGCCGATTTTTCATATAATATATACAAGTCTCATTTTCTTTTTTCTAGAGAACAAAGATGATAAATATAATCTCATTCTTCTTTTGTGGAAATGTTAATTTAACAGAAAGAGATTAGCTTAGCGGCAAGTCATCCTTGGCTGCACTTCACATCCATCATAGCCACATGCAAGACCCTATGATGACAGCATGCATAAACACAACAAAAATTCACGTGTCGAAGCTAAATAGAGCTTCTTAATTAACATGAAGATATATGAAAAGAGCCCCTCTGATGTATGTGGTACTTGTCCTCAAAGAATGGGCGTATGAATTGAGTATTTATTAAAGAAACAAGATAAAAGTTGCCAAAAAGTAATTACCTTATGTATTTCATTTTACATAATATGGAACTAGGTGATATGTTCAAAAACGAATATATCTTTCTATATTTAAAAACTCTTTAAATTTAAACTTTTCAGTTTATTCTTAATGATATGCTTTTGTAAATATAGTAATGTCCTTGCATATTTAAGACCAAATGTTATGACATTTATTTATTGCCAATGAAGTTATTTTTGGTAGGATCTTTATACAAATAGCAGGCAGGGTCACTATTTATTTTTCCTAATCGATATACATAAATTATACACTGATTTTATATGAATTATATATCTATTACACATCTGCTAGTTATTTATAGATTAAGCGGTTGGAAGTGCGGCGATTTAAGTTAATTCTTCAATTTTTTTGTTGTATACATATTCAACTTATATGTCAATAATGTTTCTTTCTTAAACTCTCTGCGCTCAATCAAATACTATCATATATTTTATCCGTTTCAATTTAGATGACACACTTTTCTTATTAGTCCGTTCCAAAAAGAATGACACATTTCTATAATAAAAATAATTTAACTTTAAACTTTTCATTTTACTCATTTTACCTTAATGAGAAGTTTTTATAACCATACAAATGACATGATCCCACAAAGCTTTTACCCCTTAAAATTTTAAGATCACAAGTTTCAAAAGTCTCTCTCTTTCCTCTTAAATTTCGTGCCAAATTAAATTAACTCATCTAAATTGTAACGGTGGGAGTATTATAAAATGAAATGATGGAGTAGTAAAATACCGAAATAAGGTCTCTATTAGGGTACTTCGTAAGTATGAGTAACAGAAAGACTTGGTACAACGTGTGATGTGATGTTAAAGAGAAGGGATGTGTAGTGTACTTCCTATTCTTGGAAATGAGAGGTGCGCTCAGAGAAGTATAAGCTGACCATTTCTGAATCTGATCAAGAATGAACCAATGGCAAGAAATGAGAAAGTATCAAGCAGATATGCTTTAGTAAGGAAGGATTCACACGATGAAATTCATATACTATATGAAGTCATGTATGGTTAGCAGCATGTGATCTGAGTCAGAATTTTTCGATTCCTTAGTCAGGAAGAATGTGTTTGTGAGCTGGATATTATCTTCTCATCCAATCTTTATTTGATTTTATGAAAGGACCACGTATTATCACCAAATATAGAGAAGGTTAACGCTGGGCAGTTTTGAATATATACTTCCATTTCTAGAAGTTCGAAGTTTTCAGATTAGTGAAAAAACATCTATTTTAAGCAACGAAACAGATTTTTTGACAGGGTTAAACTTTATATTCATTACTCAAGGATAGAAGGATTGAATTTTGACTCTTTTTCCCGTTTTTATCAAAATCTAAACTAGGCCGAGCAAATCTTTTAGTTCTGAATCCGAGCAAATCGATGAATTTATGTTAGTTAATAAAATTAAAAACCAAATTTCACTTAGATTCAGCGTGGCAACAAATTATTTGTAACGACCCGACCGGTCATTTTGTGTATTTGGGCCCCCGTTTCCCCCATTTGATGTTTTCCATATTCTTAGTTGTTGCTTTGTGACTTGCGATGATGGTTGGTTTGGTTCCTGGAAAGTTTTGGAATGAATTGGAACACTTAGTTCCATTGTAGGAAGTTTAAGTTATAAGAGCTAACCAATGTTTGACTTTTGTGTTAACAGCCTCGGATTCGTGTTTCAAGGGTTCTACTAGGGTCGTATGGTAATTTTTTACTAAGGCGTACGTCCGAATTTGGATTTGGAGGTTCCTAGCATGATTTGACTCTTTTTGTCGAAAGTTGGCAATTTGAAGGTTTAGAAATTTCATAGGTTTGACCATGGGTTGACTTTAAGACTATCTGATTCAGATTGTTGTTCTGGAATTTGGAAAATGTCTGTTTTGTCATTTGAAATTGTGTGTAAAGTTTGGTCTCATTCCGAGTTGGTTTGGTAGGAATCGGACGTTTGGTTGTAAATATTGAAGTTCTTGAGTTTTAAGGCTTGCATAATGCGCTTTGGCGTTTGATTCATGGTTTTGGATGTTATTTTGACGTTTGATCTAGCGAGCGAGTTCGTATGAGGTTTATATACTTATGTGAAAGTTTGGTGCGGATCCCGAGGGGCTCAGGTAAGTTTTAGATTGATTTCAGAGTAGTTTGGTGAAGCTTCAGTTTTTGCCAGTGCTGCAGACCTCGCATTTGCGATTGCTGGCTCCCACGGGGGACCTCACATTTGCGAGGAATTTCGTCGCATTTGCGACATTGGCCGGCTAGTTGGGCACCTCGCATTTGCAAAGTTTGTGATCGCATTTGCGAAGTTTGTGATCGCATTTGCGAAGTTTGTGGTCGCATTGGCAACATTTGTTGGGGCAGCCAGGGTTCGCGTTTGCGAACCCAAGATCGCATTTACGGAAGTCACATTTGCGAGCCTCTTGTCGCATATGCTATATCTGTAGGTGGTTGTTAGTTGAGTATTTTGGGACTTAGACCCATTTTATCATATTTTGAGCCCTCTACTTGGAGATGGGCAATATTTGAAGAGATTTTTCACACAAAGCAATTGAGTAAGTGATTTTCACTTGAATTTGATATTACGTCTTAATTTCCTATGGATTTTTACACCTAAATCAAAGAATTTGGAAGTGAAGTTTTGGGCATTTTTTACTATATTTTGAAAAATAAAAATTGGGGATTTGAGAGTCGATTTGGACTCAGTTTTGGAATCTAATCATATATTTGGACTCGTGAGGTTATGGGTAGTCGAGATCTACCCATTGACTCGAGTTTTGACCGTATGGGCCCAAGTTTGACTTTTTAGAAATTGGGTAAAGATTATAACTTTATTGTTTGGAATTGATTCCATTAGCATTGTTTGATGTTATCGAGTTATTTTTGGCTATATTTGAGCCGGATGAAGGTAATATTTTAAAGGAAAGGCAATTTTGGAGTATTTAATTTGGCTTGTTTGATGTAAGTATCTTGCCTAACCTTATGTGGAGAAATACCCCCTTAAGATTTGGCCTTAATTGCCTGATTATGTTATGTTAAAAGTGACCCGTACGCATGGTAACTAGTATGTATAGTGGTATTATGTGTGGTATGTGACCGCATTAGACCATAAGCTTCAAATATGTCTTATTTTGATGATATGCTTTATATGAAACATGCCTAATCAAGTTATAAATACAGTTGTAAATACATGAACTTGATTGCTACAATTGATTTAGCCGTAGTCATGCTTTATAAGTTGAACACCTATCTGCATTTTATTAATGTCATATGCTTGGCACCTTGTTGATAAATTATGATCTCATACCTTTTGATGGTAATTTGGCATATTGTGTTGTGATAATTATGACACATGTGGACATGTTGGGTGGATTGATTGAATGTTCACACGAGGTCTTTGCTGTGCGATTGTGATTATTGTTATGCACATGTAGCAAAATAAAGATTGTGTTTCTCGAGTTTGCATATGTGGGGAAATAAGAGTGGTGATATGCGCATGTGGCAAAATAAGAGCGTTTTTTTCTTGATATTGCACATGCGGCAAAATAAGGTTGGCATTCTTGATGATGTTTATGTGATGTTTTGAGGGGGATTTTTTTCTTGATGATATTCATGTGACGTAACGGGGATGATTTATTTAATCAGCTTTAGGGTGCTAGAGTGTTCTCCAATATTGACTTGAGATCGGGGTACAATCAGTTGAAGATCAGGGCTTCAGACATACCTAAGACGGCTTTCAGGACTAGTTATGGGCATTATGAGTTTTTAGTGATGTCTTTTGGCTTGACTAATGCCCTAACATCATTATGCATTTGTGAACAGTGTGTTCCAGCCTTATTTGGACTCTTTTGTCATCGTGTTCAATGATGATATCTTGGTGTATTCCTGTAGTAGGGAGGAGCCCAAACAACATTTGAGGACGGTGCTCCGGGTTCTGAGGGAGAAGAAAATATATGCCAAGTTCTCTAAGTGTGTTCTGATTGGATTCGGTGTCATCTTGGGTCACGTGGTGTCCAGCGAGGGGATCAAGGTAGATTCGGAGAAGATAGAGGCAGTTCAGAGTAATCTCAGACCTTATCGCTACAAAATCTAGAGTTTTTTAGGTTTGGCAGGGTATTATTGCTGATTTGTGGAGGTGTTTCCATCCATCGCAGCTCCATTGACTAAGTTGACTCAGAAGGGTGCTCCATTCAGGTGGCATGGCGAGTGGAAGGAGAGCTTTCAGAAGTTCAAGACTGCATTGACTAAAACTCTGATTTTGGTTTTGCCTTCGGGATTTGGATCATATACAGTTTATTGTGATGTCTCTCGTATTGGTCTCGAGTGTGTGTGTTGATGTAGATTAGTAGGGTGATTGCCTATGCTTCACGTCACTTGTGAGGTGTATACGAATCATCGAAGTCTCTAGCATCTTTTAAATAGAAAGAATTGAATTTGAGGCAGCGAAAGTGGTTGGAGTTGTTGAAGGATTATGATATCACTACACTGTGGTTGCTGACGCCTTGAGTAGGAAAGCAAGAGTATGTGTAATGACTCGACCGGTTATTTTATGTCATTGCACCTCATTACCCCTTTTATGCTTTACACATGTGTGTTTATAGTTTTATGACTTACGGGGTTGGTTAGTTTCATTTCGGGAAGCCTTCGGGTTGATTCGAATCCCTTCATTCTTGACTTAGAAGTTTAAATTAG